ATTCACGTGATTTGTCGAGATGAGAGGCGGGCGCGGGCGCAATCATCAATCAAATTCAAAGGGAAGCCGGCGCATTCTGACCACAGGACTGTCTTTACTGGGTATGTTTAGGGAATATTTGCATTTAGGAAGTCGTGGCCTAATGGTTAGAGAGTCGGACTCGTAACCCAAAGGTTGTGGGTTCGAGTCTCGTACCGGCAGGGATTGTAGGTGGGGGGAGTGAATGTACAGCGCTCTCTCCCACCTTCAATACCACGACTGAGGTGCCCTTGAGCAAGGTACTGAACCCCCAACTGCTCCCCGGGTGCCGCAGCAAAAAAATGGCTGCCCACTGCTCCGGGTGTGTGTTCACGGTGTGTGTGTGTGTTCACTGCTGTGTGTGTGCACTTTGGATGGGATAAATGCAGAGCACTAATTCCGAGTATGGGTCACCATACTTGGCCACGTCACTTCACTTTCACTTTCACTTCACTTTCATTTATTCACATGCGATTTGATTAGCTAGTCATGGTGGACTGTCATGATTTTGGCTAATGCAGGACACTACTGAATGATGCGCATTAGAAGGGATTTAGAAGTGGGTATACGCAAAGCCGACTGATAAAGAAGTGGGTATACGCCATATACCTGCGTATACCCTCCACTACACCACTGGCTACAATGGGCCCAAAATGTTGATAGACATCTGTCTATATATCTATCTTAAAAATCTAAAAAAGGTGGTGTAGAATTAATATAAATTAATATATATCAAAATAAAACAGTAATTGTTTTTTAAATGTATTTAAATGTAAATAAAGAAAATATAATTTACATTGACTACACATAGTCTGTATAGTGCTTTGCATGTGTGTGTCTGTACAAATCTTGAAAAAGAAAAAAACAGTAAGCTGCTATAGGAAATAAACTGGAAAACCATGATAAATTGCACTTAAATATCAGTTTTAAATGGCTCTGCTGTTGCAGAATGTAGACCAAGTTGGTGTGACATTCAGCAGTGACAGTAGGGTTAAAGGTTTGGAGAATTTATGAGCAAAGGAAGATAAAGAGAGAGCGAGATATAAAAGACACTAGGCATCTGTGGATGTAACCGTGAGGGAGATGAATACAGTGGTTCAGTGCACGTCTGTCTCACTCTCTCCACCCCTATTATCTTCTTTTGACAGTGCCATTACTCTATAGAAGAAAAGATGAACGGCACCCGTCATAGGCTGCTTAATTGTGTGTCTGGGCGTGTATCGCCACAACAGCTTTTTATAAATGCTGTGGCTCCTGCAGCCCAGTCGGCAGTCTTCGTAATCGATGCAAAGTCTCTCCTCCAGTAAATGCATAATTGACTGGAGGTTGTTATCTCAGAAGGGGGGCCTAGTTTTGGGGTGGGTTAGGAAATGCAATTTTGCTCCACTTCTGTCACTGATGAAGTGTGCTTCCGGTATGAAAATCCTGACACTCTGTCATTATCTTTGTGTGTATGTAATTGTCTCTCTGTGTCCATGTTTCTTCCAGATAAATGGTCATGACGTGCAGAACAGGGAAGAGGCTGTCGCTCTCCTCTCAAATGAAACTTCCAGATCCATTGTTTTACTCGTCACCAGACCTGATGGACAGGTGAGACTGGTAGCCAATCTTAGCCCACATTAAGTACCACAGTTCTGTTTGTGCAGATTTTTAAATTAAATATTTTTGTGAGCTAATCACCTGAGACTAGAGCCACATGAAAATGATGTCAGTAAAATTCAGATTGTTTAATCCCTGATATGCTGGTTAGGTATGTTTTGATGCATGACAGCTGGTTTGAACTGGTTTAAGCTGGTTATGAGCTGGTTTAAGCTGGTCATGTGCTGGTCCTAAGATCAGGACCATCTTAAACCAGCTCATGACCAACTAAGGACCAGCTTAAACCAGCTCAAACCAGATGCCATGCTTCAAAACATACCTAACCAGCATATGCTGTTTTTTTTTTCAACAGGGATCCCAAACCCTTCACAAGTGACTATACTTGGCTTTGATGTAAATGGCAGCAAAAAGCTCAAATACAATGTCCATTTCATGCTTTAAAAAGCCCTCTTAAAGACAGTATAAATGGTAAAATATCTACCAAAGCTTGTAAAAATATGTATTCCAGCAGAATACACACCTATTTTTGAAAAAGATGCTTTTTGCAGTTATGCCATCTACTATCGCATGATATGCCAATCCTTGACCCCTTGGTTGGCCCAAAAGTTGTGAACCCTATTGGGATCTTCTCTTTTAGATGGATGGAAGCTGGCTTGATGAAGACCATCAAGATTTCCTAGAGGAGCTGAAGATGGAGATTTTAGAAGAACAGAAAAAGGAGGGAATTCTTCAAACAGCTGGTTGTGTAAAGCGGGTAAGTGTGACCATATTCGGCAAAAGTTCCTTAGCACTAAGTCTTGATGTTGTGACATTAAGGCATTAAAGGGTTGTGTCTTGTTTTGCAGTCTAAAAGACATGAGGATGCCTCAGCAAGTACAGATACAGCAACATGCTCCTCTACCATTCTGGAGAAGGACAGTGGTGTGAAATGCAGCTTTGAGGAGAGCTCTGAACATGAATCGCTCTCTCATCCCCAAACATGGACTCAAAAACAACTTCGGAACAGGTGGGAAGCGGGCTCGCATTTGGTTCCTATGGACACCGTAAGCTTGACCAGGCAGGAGAAGGGTCAGGAGGAGGGCAAGTTGAGCGAGAATGGAGTGGAGTGTGACCATTTCCAGCAACTCCTGGAGCTCAAGTGCCAGATCCGTAATAGTGGAGAATGCGGGTTGGTCTACAGGCGAAGCAGTACTATTGAGTGCAGCCTGACGGAGCAGGGTAGAAGTGGAGTGGCACGGGAGCTGCACATGCTCAACGAAGAGCTGCGCAGCATTGAACGTGAGTGCCAGAGCATCATGCAAGCCCACCAGCTGCGCAGGAGCAAGCACGACTCTCCTCAAACGGATAAGGAAAGTCGACTGCGTCGTGGCAAGCTTGCGGATATCAACGAGCATCCTGAGAGACTACAAAGCGAGAAGCTCAGAGATAAAGACAGCTCCAGTGCCTACAATACAGCCGAAAGTTCCCGCTCAACTCCACTGGGAACAGAAGGTTCACCAGATCACTCTCTACAGCGTCGAGTCCACCTGACCAATCAGAGGAACCTTCGGAGTACCCAACACTTGCAGAGTCCCTACAATAGTCCCATCTTGTCTTTACCCAGCCAAAGTAGCCCTACTTGCAGTCGTGCCCATATGTACACCAGCTCCACACCATCCTTACAGACCCCCATCACCAGTCCTGGTTCACAAGGACCCAGCCAGGCCTTCTCCAGCAGCTTGGAGCAAAGCCCCAGCAACCCCTCGGAGTCAGACCCAGCGCTTCCAGCTGATGATGAGCTCTGTGAGAAAGAAAGAAACCGGAATAGGGTTGCAACCGCTCGGCACTACCAATCCCCCTACCACAGCAACACAACAACAACCCAGCCTCCCAGCACAAGACACTACCAGAGTTGCCTACAGCTCCTACAACAACATTCCTCTTCTTCTCTGGAGTACTCCCAGAGCCAGCTTAGCCTCCTCAGCCTCCGTGGACGGCCTGGACCCTCGCCACCTGGCCGACTTGAATGGAAGGTCAAAGTACGAGCAGACGGAACCAGGTATGTGGCACGTCGGGCCGCACGGGACCGCATCCTGCGCGAACGAGCCTTACGGATCCGGGAGGAACGCAGCGGTGGGATGACTACAGATGACGACGCAGTCAGCGAGTTGAAGATGGGCCGGTACTGGAGTAAAGAAGAACGCAAGCAGCAGCTAGCACGGGCCAGGGAACAGAGGCGCAGGAGGGAATTCATGCAGAGGAGCCGGCTTGAGTGCCTCAGGGAGACCATGGGGACGGCAAGTGGAGAGGTCAGCATCCTGGAGCTCAGCCATAAGAAGATGCTGAAGAAACGAAACAAGAAGATCCTTGACAACTGGATGACCATTCAAGAGCTCATGAGCCATGGAGCACGAGCACCCGAGGGCACCAAAGTTCACAACGCCTTCCTGTCAGTCACCACAGTTTAGTGAAAAGCATGACCCCAGGTGGTCTTGGTTTATGTACTTGCCTCATTCCAAGTGGCTATTTTATAAAGGTGAAGATGCAGATATTTTTCATGTTTTGTGAAACTGAGTAATACTTTGTGAAAACTCAACTAAACTCAAGACTTCAAGAAATGTGAATGTTCAAAAGCTCTTTTGATACACTAACACGTTGACACTACCGTCACAGACCTCGCTGTGTTTTCGTACTAGAACGTATAAAAGACGTTTTAATAGGATTTTACACACTACATTGTGGTTTAATGTAGTGTTTCTTTCCATGCATTTGCATTTGTATTTTATCAATGGCAAGTTTTCATGCGATATAAAATACAGTACTTGAATAACGGCTTTTGCTGCCATTACATCTTTTAAATCTGAAATGTAAATATCTGTAACGATTCTTATCAAGATCTTCATGGGTAAAGGTCTTCATTGCAATTTAATGGGTTTACAAGAGTCGTTTGACATATTCCGCACGATGTTACCATTTTAATGGTATTGTATACAATACGTACGATTTTTGTACTGTTCTGTATAAACATTATTTATATTTTTTGAGTCTAATAAGTTATCTTATTCCATCTTTATAATGCCAAATGACCCAGTCTGTATCGCAGTCAAGCGCTAAACATGGAGTTTCTACCACTCTCATTGTGCCTTGAATAGAGGCTCATTTTTCTACCACAGGTTGTGAAGAGACACCTTCAGTAATCTTGCTGTCATGTTTTTAGTCTCTTTTTGATGTGTAAAACAACTTTGTAGCCAGGTCTATGTGTTCTAGGTGTGCTACATGAGGAAAAAAAGAATAATAAATTATTGTTCTATAACTCAAAAATTAGAAGTCTTGTAATCCTTCCTTCTCAAACAATGGTTTACAGACTTTCAGAAACCAAACCATTCAGAATACAAAGATATTTGTAGCTTCCAGCTTTGATTGATTAGTTTTCTTGATTGACTGCTTGAACTAATTAAGCTTGAGATCAAGAGCTGCATTGCTGAGATAAACTGTGATTATATCATTAGAGTCAGACAACATTGGCATTTGTCCGATTCGCATCTCACCCAAATACCACAACTGTCATTGTTAAACTGACAACCTGGCATCCTGGCAGACAGTTGCATTAAAATCAAATCTGTTTGACTGGAAATGTAATTATATGCATAAATATATTGCCGTTAGACCATCAAACACTGCACTATATTTGATGCAGATGTTCTTAGGTATTATTGTAGGTAAACATTTATGTAAAGAGAAACAAAAAATTTTTAATTAGCTGTTAAGATATTATGAAGTTTACTTTTCTTACCCAATTAATGAATTTTTCTGTCTTATTTTAGGCATAATCCTCTCAAAATTGCTATAGTAATGCTTAAATGCTTAATTTGCTATATAATTTGAATATAAGATATTCTCTGAAAACAAATTTATCTGATGCAATTTTGTTTGCACAAGTAAATTTGTCATTTTAAGGATGTTGAAAACCAGAGAAAATACCAAATAATATGACATATAAAAAGAATATTTGATATTAGTTTGTCCCACTTTTCTTGTTAACTGCTGAAAAAAATCCATCCAACCAACTAACAATCTTTATCTATCCATCTATCCATCCAACTAACCAACCAATAATTTGTATCTATTCATCAATCAATCCATCATCCATCCATCCAACAATCCATATATATCCATCCAATCGACTATATTTAATATCTATCCATCTGTCTGTCCGTTCAACCAACCAACAATCTTTATCTATCCATCCATCCAACAAACCAAGAATCTTTATCCATCCATCCATCTGACCATCCATATCTGTCCATCCATTCGACTATCTTTATCTATCCATTCATCCATTAATCTATCCATCCGATCATCCATATCTAACCATCCATTCGACAATCTTTATCCATCCATCCAACCAACCAACCAACCAACCAACAAACCGAAGATCTTTATCCATCCATCCGTCTGGCCATCCAACCGTTCAGAATACAAAGATATTTGTAGCTTCCAGCTTTGATTGATTAGTTTTCTTGATTGACTGCTTGAACTAATTAAGCTTGAGATCAAGAGCTGCATTGCTGAGATAAACTGTGATTATATCATTAGAGTCAGACAACATTGGCATTTGTCCGATTCGCATCTCACCCAAATACCACAACTGTCATTGTTAAACTGACAACCTGGCATCCTGGCAGACAGTTGCATTAAAATCAAATCTGTTTGACTGGAAATGTAATTATATGCATAAATATATTGCCGTTAGACCATCAAACACTGCACTATATTTGATGCAGATGTTCTTAGGTATTATTGTAGGTAAACATTTATGTAAAGAGAAACAAAAAATTTTTAATTAGCTGTTAAGATATTATGAAGTTTACTTTTCTTACCCAATTAATGAATTTTTCTGTCTTATTTTAGGCATAATCCTCTCAAAATTGCTATAGTAATGCTTAAATGCTTAATTTGCTATATAATTTGAATATAAGATATTCTCTGAAAACAAATTTATCTGATGCAATTTTGTTTGCACAAGTAAATTTGTCATTTTAAGGATGTTGAAAACCAGAGAAAATACCAAATAATATGACATATAAAAAGAATATTTGATATTAGTTTGGTAATATGTGCAGATTTTTTTTTCACACAGATTGTTCTGAATGGATGAAAGCTCCCTGAGGTTGTTAGGATGGTTTGTGTGTGAGGGAGGTTGGAGGCTTTTTGAAGTCTAATGTTTTTCATCTTTGCTATGAATGTGTGCTGCATGTAAAGACCTGTCTGCCTCTGTTTCAAAGTGATAACACTAACGTAGGTCTCGTGCACGGGTGTCGTAAACCTCAGCTGCGTTGAGTCACATGAACACTGATTTCATTGAGACCCTTTTGAACACGTCCCTATTGTACTGTCAGGGTCCAAAACACTGGGCACCAAATATTAGTTAAAATTGACTTTAGTAAGTAAATAAACCAGTTATTTACTAGTTAGCTAGTAATTTTATAAGGAATGGCAATATTATAATTGTAAGAATGTATCCATAATCACCTGTGTAATACAGCTGATAGAAAGCTCTTTTGTGTTACTGATAAATCAGAAGGATTGCCAACAATCCATCTTCTCATCACAAATCCTCTCAGTTTTTAGCTGTTCAATCTTTAAATTCTTTCCATCTTTCATGTTTTCAATCTTCATCCTAAAATTAAATCTCAGGTTTATGAACTTTACCTAATTACCAGCTACAGAAATTGGTCCTGTCTTGCGTTATGGCCCTGCTGTGGAAGGATATTCTCTCAGACTGAATATGGCAAAAAGATGCTGTATTATGTATATGTGCCAGTCGTTTACCTCGTTAAGGTTCTCTTTCACATTTATTTATTCATAAATGCTCATTATGACTGACAGAGCGGAGACTTGTGAAATGAGAGAAGAGATATCAAAGCAAGTGCCTTTTCCTCCTCGCCATCACTCTCTCTCACTCTCTCTCTACTTTACTACAAAGAATAATGGAGAGCACTGCTGTCAATCCATGTGATGTTCACACTTCACCTAGAAGAAGAGCTTTATCTTCTTTAAAGTAATAGTGCACCAAAAAAAAAAAATTCTGTCATCATTTACACTCACCCTCGCATCATTCAAAACCAGTGTTGCTTTCTTTCGTGTAACACCATTAAAATAGGGGTCGATAACCCTGACTTTTCCATTTGTCCATCTGTAATCCCACTTTTCTTGTTAACTGCTGAAAAAAATCCATCCAACCAACTAACAATCTTTATCTATCCATCTATCCATCCAACTAACCAACCAATAATTTGTATCTATTCATCAATCAATCCATCATCCATCCATCCAACAATCCATATCTATCCATCCAATCGACTATATTTAATATCTATCCATCTGTCTGTCCGTTCAACCAACCAACAATCTTTATCTATCCATCCATCCAACAAACCAAGAATCTTTATCCATCCATCCATCTGACCATCCATATCTGTCCATCCATTCGACTATCTTTATCTATCCATTCATCCATTAATCCATCCATCCGATCATCCATATCTAACCATCCATTCGACAATCTTTATCCATCCATCCAACCAACCAACCAACCAACCAACAAACCGAAGATCTTTATCCATCCATCCGTCTGGCCATCCATATCTGTCCATCCATTTGACAATCTTTATCCATCCATCCATCCAACCAACCAACCAACAAATCTGAAATGTAAATATCTGTAACGATTCTTATCAAGATCTTCATGGGTAAAGGTCTTCATTGCAATTTAATGGGTTTACAAGAGTCGTTTGACATATTCCGCACGATGTTACCATTTTAATGGTATTGTATACAATACGTACGATTTTTGTACTGTTCTGTATAAACATTATTTATATTTTTTGAGTCTAATAAGTTATCTTATTCCATCTTTATAATGCCAAATGACCCAGTCTGTATCGCAGTCAAGTGCTAAACATGGAGTTTCTACCACTCTCATTGTGCCTTGAATAGAGGCTCATTTTTCTACCACAGGTTGTGAAGAGACACCTTCAGTAATCTTGCTGTCATGTTTTTAGTCTCTTTTTGATGTGTAAAACAACTTTGTAGCCAGGTCTATGTGTTCTAGGTGTGCTACATGAGGAAAAAAAGAATAATAAATTATTGTTCTATAACTCAAAAATTAGAAGTCTTGTAATCCTTCCTTCTCAAACAATGGTTTACAGACTTTCAGAAACCAAACCATTCAGAATACAAAGATATTTGTAGCTTCCAGCTTTGATTGATTAGTTTTCTTGATTGACTGCTTGAACTAATTAAGCTTGAGATCAAGAGCTGCATTGCTGAGATAAACTGTGATTATATCATTAGAGTCAGACAACGTTGGCATTTGTCCGATTCGCATCTCACCCAAATACCACAACTGTCATTGTTAAACTGACAACCTGGCATCCTGGCAGACAGTTGCATTAAAATCAAATCTGTTTGACTGGAAATGTAATTATATGCATAAATATATTGCCGTTAGACCATCAAACACTGCACTATATTTGATGCAGATGTTCTTAGGTATTATTGTAGGTAAACATTT